CGACCTGGGTTGCCAGATCCGCCAGAGATGCACGTAAATTAATCTTGAGATGTTTTTTAAAGACAGAACTACGACTTTTGTCTTCAAATACAGTTTTTAATGGGATTATATGGCCAACAATGATACACTAATCAAATGACGCATATCGTAATTACCCATTCATCTGAAAAAGACAAAATAAAATGATTTACTTTCATTTCATTCTACATTTGCGTTATTTTGCTGCAGTTACAAGCAAGTTAAACAGAAGGTTGAATTGCCATATTTGCTCTTTGTTTATACAAGTTAGGCACAAGAAAATGTGCTTACATTTCTAAATGTCATACAGGAAAAAATGTGGACTTTATTCATTATTAGTGCAGGGCTGCAACTGAAAGGTTTTCAAATTATTTTCTCCATCTTGTGAATCGGTCTGTGAAGTCTAACATCATGTATTGCTTATTTTGTCCAACTTATAATCAAAAAATATTCAGTTCAAAGTTATTTAAAAAAGAATATTTGCCTTTTTTAAGTGAATACTCAATAGCCAGCTGTTTTACAGCTATTTTCAAATCTATGTGTGTGTTTAAGATCTATTTCAGTGCAGTGGCAAATAAAATATTAAAAAAAAATCTATTTAATCTTTCCCCCTCTTTGAGTATTGTATTTGTACCGTTTTATAATTGGTATTGGAGAGTCATGACTTACTTGATAAGATATAACGCACCGTGTATTTTCTAAGCGGACATGGCAACCCTAAATCCAAATAACGCCACTTCCGTTAAGGCGATCCATAGTCAGAAGCGACTGGGACTAGAGATAAGAGGTAAAATGCCTTTACACCTTTATTGGTCCCACAATTGAGAAATGTCAACAAATATGTATTAGTAATCAAGTGATCACTTTCATTCCAAAACATTTCTTGATTTAATTTAATTTTCCTGATCTTAATCCAAGTATGGTTTCCACCACTGGAGGCTGTAAAAATCATCAGAGTAGGGGAACATTTATTTATACTTCTCAGCCAATAGAGATTAATTTTTCAAATGATTTAATAAAAGTACAACAAACCCACTTATTTTGTTTTTATTTGTGAAGGATTGTCTGTAGGTTTAAGGAAAACCAATTTCTGTAATTGAAACAATTTTATTGCCATATAGATAGCTTAAAACCAGCACTACAGTTACGCAGAAAATATTATAGACCTGCACAAGTAAACATTTTCAGGACCTCTAAAATGTTAACGTAGATTTTTGTTAGTTATTTAAATAGAAATCTAAAATTCGTGATTGATCCATGATCCAAATCAAACATATTTACAAAGAATGGCAGTTGCAATACAATGAAACACACAAGCCCAGTTTAAAGTCAATAACTTTATTAGAAAAATAGGTTTAACTCACCTCACTGTACAGTATAAAACAATTCATTTGCAAGAATGCAAACACACTTGTTAGCAAAAACAAACAAAATGAAAAAAAAAAATCATTCTTGACTCTTATATTTGGGAATCCAACAGAGTCAATACTAGCATGAAAAAAAATCTGTCTCTTTTTCACAAACCTGGTAAAAAGAGAAAGAACAAGCTGCACAATCCTTTCTGAAGAACGCTAAACATGAGTGAGATTCAAAGACACTGCGTTTCATGGCAAATGTCACAAAAAGGCAAAAAGACTACTACACACTAATGATGTTTAAAAAGAGCTTAAAGGAGAAATCCAACCTAATACACTGTCACCATCAAAAATCATGTAAGTCTGTAACATATAATCCATTCAAAAAGTTTCTTTATGACACAGTAAATTTGCACTACTTCATTATGTAACTACAATTCCCAGAATGCCCTTTACCACTCCCAGAAAAGCATTGGAGTTATAAAAAGACAGGGACTATAAATATTGCTATACAGCCATGGCCACATTTCATAATTCAAACATCTTGTGGGTGCATTACATTATATGAGTGAAGACATAGATCTCTGTGCACATTCCCTGTGTGATTGCCTAACAATGATGTAAACTGTAAGCCCTATAAAGTGCTCCATACACTGTGACTTTACGACACCAAAACGTGATTGTAAATATCTCGCATCATTTAAACGGAGAAGTCTGGTAATACTCTAGATGTTTCGTGTTATCAACAAATCCCATAAAGTGCACAAAACCAACAGTGAATGTGTCCACGGACAAATACTGTGTGTATCACAGCCTGATCCTCTGTGCCACAGAGCTCTATTGTCCAAAACACATCAATAAACCACACTGCTGCACTGGGTGACATATTCCTTCATCACCATGAACACACACACTGTGGTTTATTTTGACCCACATGCACTGTCCTGCTGCCCCAAAACTCACTAGAGCACCAAATGTGGATTAATCTGCAGATGAAAATAGTCCCCACAAATGCGCTATTTCAGTGACATACTTTTTGTTTTAAACATAACTATATATTTATGGTTTTAATGACATCTTCAGCAGGAACCAATGAGCTTGGAGCTGACGGCTACAGACAAGCAGTCAGAGAGTATTCAGAGATTAATTTACACAATTGATTTTGATATTTTTGTGGGATTTGTTGACAATCATCTCCAATTTCTATTGACGGTTTACAGAAAAGCTGGATTTTAGTTGATTTTTATTAGCTAAAACCACAAGAGAAAACCCTCACTGATCAATTTACACAAGCAATCAAATCATTTTAAGTACTGTAGATAATAACATGTAGCTGCGCTCTGCAGGTACATTATTACACACCCTGTGAAGCCACGTGCCCTGAAGTGCGAGGTACATCACTAAAAGCCTGTTATTTTCCCCAAAAGCTTAACATTAGGATGGATTCCTCCTTTAAATTCTTAACATTTTGATTTCCAGTATAATGTGTAGACACGAATTAACACCAGTTTATAGAAAGTTTGTCACAACCACATATATGGCATGATAATCTACAGGGACATACAATGTGAAACGTATAATCATGCTTCTTGCGATGAAAACTTTTCCATGCCATGTCTAGTTTCTTAATTTCTTCTTAAACTTTTCAGGACCTGGAAATAAATTCATATTCTTCCAGACCTGCTTAAAAGACTAAATAAAAAAAAAAAAAAAAAAAAGTAGCGCGACTGGATGTCAGTGGTCATCTGTGAATGACCTCTGACGTCACAGATGTTTGTGCAGAACAGACAGCCTGAGACATCACTTTGCAAACATCCTTACATCGACGGGTACAAACGAAAACAAAAGACAGTTTTCCCATCGTGGAAGACAAAGGATGACTCTGGTTTCCAGGCATTTAGGATTTTACAAAGAAAAAGTAACAAGTTACAAAACAACTCCTGTCTGTAAACTACATATTCACTCTGTTCATTTCTCAAGACAGCAAGGCTCGTTCAGGCTCATTTCAGGAGGACCAACTAACGTGTCTACAGCAGCTGCTGCCTACGTCAAGTCTCAACTGAGAGCTAAAATCCATTAAGTGCTCTGTTGTTGCCTGTGCATATCTCTGAGGTGGAGTGGGAGTTTGGGGGGGTCGAACCCTGCCTCAGTTTCCTCAAGTACAAAATGGGACAGAGCAGGCCAGTCCTCGAAACTGAGGTAGTTAACGGACCCTTGGTGGCTAACGTTCTTAAAGAATCATTTTCCTGGAATGCCCGACCTTCAAGACCAGCTGATCACACCTCAACACTATCTCTGATAATCATAGCTCATCAGGTCTAGTCCATTGTAAAAGATGTAGTTTAAGAGCTCAAAAAGACAAAAAGAAAAGCATCAAATTCCACCAAACCACTCCAAACTTGAACAAAAAAAGTGCAAAGACTTTTCCAGGAGGATGTCCATTCTGAACTCCTACTCAGTAAGTCTCAAATGGCATATTTGGGGCTGGGGGCACAGGGCTTATAAACTTAAAAGTCACCTCTTTTTTAAAACAAAAAAAGCAAGCTCAAGTTTTGCTCTTCTGATTATCTTCGAACATGGCAGTTTTAGGAGATCTGCTCCTTAAAAAAAGGCTGGAATACCATTGGACCACTGAGTCAGTTGACCTTACCATTCCCATCCACTGGCAGCCTGCAGTGTGTGACGCCATACACTGGTCAGTCTTCATAGCGACACATCAGGACCGGCCTCGACCCCTTTTTCCTGCTAGTCAGGTAACAAAAGGAAGCAATTAGAGAATGGAAAACAGGATCACATTACATCTACACACATCTACTGTTTTTGAGTCCCTCGCGCTCACACACTCATTCATTAGAGGAGGAACTGTGTAACAAGTAAAACATGAATTTGCATACATTAGAAGACAAAGCACTCCCACAGACTCGCACGCCCTCTGATTTAACATGCACATGTCAATGCCTTAAAGAGGACGACAAGCAGAGAATCGGCCTGGTTCGGATTGTAAATTAAATTGAGGTGCAGCAGGTGAAACGTGGACACGCTAAAACAGGCAGAGAGAAGAGGAGGAGGAAGGGAGGGGTTAAGAGCAGCCATTAAATCTATAAAAGCAAACTGAACAAAAACACTACAAGCAATCATGCATGGCAGTTATCTCTCACAATAGCACAATATCAATCCTTCAGATAGACATGCAAGATTAGTATCCAGGCCTTCAACAGCTAGGTAGATCCTTCTGGGACAAGGAAAAGCTTCACTTTGACATTAATAAATCAAATTGTGCTTTTATTCCCCCGACTGGTACAAAAGGGACTTGTATGGCAGACTTGTAGGGGGAGGGGCTTGCTATTGATGCTGCATTGACAGTGAATTTAGGACACCAATTTGTGATACATTATGTTTTTGGACATGAGAGGAACTAATAAGGATGAAGTATGTCACTACACATACAGAGCACTTGAGAGATGCCGACTATAGAAGTAGGTGATTTGGAATTTGATGGCATGCAAGGTGACACTGTAGCATGTGGCCAACATTGGCAAACCTTTAGTCCATTTTCTTCCACAAGGAGCCTTAAATTTGAAGGCAATTTGAAGAGAGAATTTGCCGAAACATGAATTTGCAACACAATTTGAGGTTTTGTACACGTGTGCGTGTATGTTTATTAAAGCAGACAAACAGCAAAGAATACAAGCCAAAATGTAAAGCCAAAAAATAGGACTACGACGGTCCTTTTTTTTCTTCTTTTCAATAACAAGACACGCATTACTTTGTGACAATACAAATTGTATTTTCATTTGTTTTAAATACATGTTTAGGAGACATATGCTTTGTTGCTGTTAGCTACTTAAAACATGGAAACCAGAATCTCTAAAAACATACATAAAGCTATAGCCAAATAGACAGCTCGAGCACATTTGCATCTAAAAATTTTTTCAAACGTTATTATGGAAAATCTTTTAAACGACCATCTTAAAAAAAAGAGGGAAAAAAAAAACAAAAGGAGAAAAAAAAAAGAAAAACCAGTTCGCCAGAAACAGGTGGGAGTGTGACTACTGTTTGAGTCCAAGCGGATTATTAAAATATGTACAGAAAGATATCTTGCCAGATGTCACCAATTTTGAGGAAAAAAATGCAGGCAACCGTATGGGATTGAGGGCCAATCAGATCAAGTCTCTAAATAAAAAGACAAAAACAAAAACAATAAACACGTATTTTGTTATCAAAGCCCTACTGGTTTACTTCCACTGTTGCCCAAAAGAATCCTGATAAAATTCCTGGTTGTCGGATTTGTAACCGGAATAGTTACCAGAATGATCACCACCTTGGAGCGGTTGCTGAGCAATGGGTTGAGAGCCCCAGTTCTGATTATTGGTCTGGCGACGCTTGGAATCTGGCTGGTTGTACCCATCAGCTTTGCGCTTTCCTCCTACATTTCCACCGCGGCCACCCCGAGCACCACGTACCCCTCCTCGCCCTCTCGGCTGCACGCCTCCTCTTGCTCCCCGCCCACCGCGGCCTGGTCCGGGACCCCCCCGCTGGGAGAAGTTGGCCCTGCCTCTGGGTGCCCCGGCGCCGCCCCGTCCTCTGGCTGGAGAGGATCCTCCCCGGGAGCCCCTGCTGCCGCCCCGTCCTCGGCTTGGGGCCTGGAAGTCGTCGTACCCGTAGTAGGGGTCTTCGTAGCCGCCACGGTAGTTGTGATAGTCATAGCCATAGTAGTCATAGTAGTCCTCATAACCGTAGTAGTCAGGGGGGTAAGCATAGCCACCCCGGTTGCCGCCTCTGCCTCGGCCTCTGACAGGAGGTGGCATGTGGGGAGGGGGAGGGTAGTAGTAATAATCATCGTACCTGATGAGGGTGAAAGAAGGCAAGCAATAAGAATCAAGACAAGAAAATGCTGAGCAAAATATCAGAGGATGGGATCCAAAAGACCTGCTGAGACATTTCTTACATTTGTGATTTGGCTGCTTGCCTCTGTGCTTTGCGCTCCTTCCTCTTCTGATCTGGTGGCTTCGCGAAAACAATCTCAATGGGCTCTCCCTCCAGCTCCTTCCCATTCATTTCTTCCAACGCCTGAGAAAGCAGCAAGTTAGACACCTTTGTTAACTCCTGCAAATGTCCTTGGCTCAACAATCAATTTATTTTCTTGATTCAAGCTGACAAACTAAAGGACACAAAAACTAAAAATCAAAGTCACACCTTCACTGCGCCGTCCCTCTCTTCAAAGTGAATGAAGGCGTAGTCTTTAAGCTTCTTAACTCGCTCCAGTTTTCCAAACTCACTAAAGGACTTCTCCAGGATCTCCTCCGTGACACCATTGGCAAGATTTCTCACAAATAAAACCTTTACCTGCAACATGGGACGAGAGAAGGTCAGATCTCACCCTGCAGAATGTTTACAATATGTGCCATTGTTACATTCCTGAATGAGTGCTCTATGCCATCAACTTTGCAAATACCATTCCTTCTTTCAAACTGAGTTGTTTTCTGTCACATTACATGGCGACTGTTAAAGCTCACCTTGGCCATGACCTCTGGGTCAGGATCTTCGATGGGGTCTGCCCACTCTACTGTCACCACATTGCCCCAAACCTTCACCTTGCCACTCATTAGCCGCCGGCGAGCCTGAGCAGCCGTTTTGTGGTCTTCGTACTCCAAGAAGCAGAAGCCTCGGTTCTTCTTTTTGTCATCAGGTTGATGGTACAGTATGACATCACTGAGGCCCTCTATACACAGACAGAAAAGAGATGTTTTCTGAGATTATGTAATCAGGTTTACAAAGACGTTTTAAAGCAGCAGTGCGTTACAGAGCACAATCACATGGGTTTTTTTTTTTTTATTTACCTGTGACTTTACCAAACTCTTCAACAATCTGCTCCTTTGTTTTACTCTTGGGAATGGAGCCAACGAATAGCCTGTTGTTGGCGACAGATATACACACCCCGATGTGCTTGCCAGGGCGAATCTCATGATTATTGCACTGTTAAAAAAACAATCAACCATATATGTGATGATGGTGGAAGATACCAAGCAAATTCAACTGCTTCCAACTTTTTGCTAAGAGAAGGAACACTTTCATGACAAACTTAATACTTAACATAAAAAACAAGAACAATTTTCATCCACATGCTCATTCCCTTTTGTCCTCTGGTTGACAATTTAATCCAGGCTTCTAGTTTATTAAGTGGAGCATTTCCTGACTTGATTCTTGTTCCAACTTCAGTTTTCCAAAGAAGACTTTTCTAGTGAAAAAAGCATTCCCGACAAACTTACCAGCTTCACTGCCTCCTGGGCTGCTTCTTTAGTGCAGAAAGTGACAAAGGCATAGCCCCTGTTCAGGCCACTCAGTGGGTCCATCATTAGCCTGAGGTCCCAGATAGGCCCAGCCTTCTCAAAGAGAGGAACCAGCTCATCTTCAAACAAGTCACGGGGAATCTTTCCTACAAATATCTAAGAGATAAGAAGAATTTGACATTTAAAAGATACACACATTATGTTTACAGACTCAACTACATCTCTGTGTATTAAGGAGGAAAAACTGAAAAGAAAAAAAAAAAATCTACAGAAGACATAAATCAACATGTTTTCCTTTGAATTTTTGTTTCCGTATATACATATATATCTAAAGCTATTTTGTTAACGTGTTAAGACAATGCAAAATCCAGCTCAAACCTGTCTTTCATAATGTCTGTACAGACTAGAGCTAAAGTAAAAAGCTGTTGAAACAATTATTATAACTCTAAAGAACAAAAATTCAGCTTCAATCGTTAGCTGACTGTCAACAAAACATGACGAAGTGTACCTCTGTTCCAACATTGGGTTGGGCACCGGAGTACACAGACTCAGGTGGGGGCCCGCCATACTTCCGCTGGCCTGTTGTGACATCAAGTGTGTAGTTGGTTCTGTCCAGGAGTTCTTTGATTTTAGCCTCATCTGGTCCTTTAGTGGAATCTGAAACTTTAGTCCCTTGTTTCTCCCTCTGCCTGTAAGTCTTCATCACCCCACAGAGAAAGGCACTTTTGTTCTGGGAGAGACAAGAACTGTTTTAGGAACGTGGATATTTACCCCCATTTTATGCACAAATAAAATGACATTACAGTGTGCAATGTAGAGTGTCCTAAAACAACACTTGCAAAGACCCAGCTGTCTTTCAGATGATTAAACTTACTTGCACGTGTGACAGATCACTCTCTTTGAACTGGACCAGCACTTGCAGGGCTCCCTCTTCATTGAATTCTTTCAAAGCTTCAATAGCCCTTTCATCTAGGTCACTATGTGCTACTAGACCTAATGAGCAAACAAAAAATACAGTAAATGTGGTGTTAAAAAAAGAAGAAAAACACTTGATCATCAGGGCAGGTTAGCACTGGCAGACAAAGGACGTGTGACTCATGCAGGTGTGAAACAGTTGCACAATCTAGGCTTATTAATAATAAGTGATCTGTACCAGGATGAATTGAAGAAAATATCTGAAAGCACAATGACCTGATTCCATCAAAGTTTCATTATCACATATGCTAATGTTTTACAGCCCCATACAGTGCCAAGTTTCAATACAATCAAATCTCCTCAAGACATGCAGCATAAGTCGACTAGTAAAAATCAAACAACAGTGTTACTTAAAAATTCAACAGAGTAAGACACTTAAGCAAAACCCTCCTTTCTATTAACCGCTACTGTTTCTACCACCAGTACGTTCAATTTCACTGTGCTCTGGAGAACATCCTTGTGGCTCGTGCTCAAAGAGTCACACCTGCTGCAGACAGACAGCTGCTCTTTTGTTTCTACGCATGTCACAGTACCAGCTGGCTTCAATTTACATTTCGTAGAACGCTTTTTGGCTAAAACCAATTCAATCCAGTTTCTATATTTAACAGTATGACAACAGTTAGATCTGAATCAACTCACTGATTGGTAAATAAGTAAGTGCGGACAAAATAGTAAATACTTTGACTTCTGCAAGGAAATTGGCCTCTCATGATTTAATCTACACAGAGGTAACTTATTATTATACAGGAAAAGATGCAAGCCAAACCAGCAGTTAGAGGAACTCTCCTCCTCACTCTAACATCCGGCTGCTCAAAATGATTAGTACACCAACTTAAAACAACGCCTTGATTACAGGTTTTGGCCAATTGCGCTACTGACAATGAGTAAATGGTGTTTTTATTTCCCAGGACACCATTGTTAAAAGCAATCAATACTGAAAGGTTAAAGGTTAGTCGATATTTTTTTGTCATCAATAAATTACACAAAAACACCAAAATGAACAATGTGTTACTCCCTCTTTCAAAACAGAGAGGGAACATCACCAGCCATATCCTTTAAAGTAGAATTTAATGACAATGGCCTTACAGACAGTGGTGTAATCTAAGTAAGTGCATTTATCGTAGTACTGTAATTCAAGTACAATTTTGAGGTACTTGTACGTTATGTGACGAAACACTGACAATTTATGGTTTATTATTTTAGATTAAACTACCCAGAAGTATATCAAGTAATTACAATGCGCCTCACTGTTACCACCTGCAACATTTCAGTGATGAACACATTAATACACCACTTTACTTTACTTAAATCCAGTTCTGAATGTAGGATTTTAACTTACAGAGAGTTTTCACACTGTGGCATTGCCACTTTTACTTAGGTGATAGATCTTAGTACTTTTGCCACTACTGCCCACACAATACAAAAGTATTTCTGGACATGCTAAATTACACTAGATAATCCTCAGTTATTGCACATCTCTGACAAGTTCTGTATATCCACAGCATGGTGACGCCTTACATTTGTATGAACATGTTTTTCTCAAAGCAGGTAAAGGCAAGAACAATGGGAGAGCTCACACCACACAGATTGAGCCTCTGCTTACCTGCAACGTAAAGTTCATCTAGCTTCTCAGCCACATTCTGAGGTAAACCAGCCTCCAGTAAAGCTGGGAAGTGTTCTGAGTGGGTCACCTCCGCTGTAGTGTCCATGGGTTCCTCTGTACCATTCCCATTTACATGATCTGTGGCCATGTCTCCAGACATCTGTGCGGATGAGATTATTGCAGAGTTACCAAACACACAGCTGAAGTTACAAGAGCAACAACACATTAGGAGAGCGATTTGGCGCCAGAGAGGACACTGTTGATAGACTGTAATGCCTGAGTGGCTGCTGTGTTTCATGATGTCGTGTGCACAACAGTTGGATAGAAAAGCTGTGGTTGGCACTAAAAATCTTAAATAACGTTACAGCCTCACTCTCACATTGCTCATTAATTATGTATATAAGGAAAATCACGCAAGCAACAAAGGTAATCTACGACATAAGGAGGGCAAAGTCAAACGATGGAGCAAAAACATACACATGTATATAATAATTTATGCCTATGGTTAACAGTAATTGCAAGCTGTAATGTTAACAGAGCTGCAACGGTGGTAAAAATGTGTGTGATCACTAACGTTATACTCAAGTCTGAAACTGAAACACCATTTTTTCAAATGAGTGTATGGCTTTGACTTTAACGCCAGACACTCATTTGAAAAAAAGGCAACTACCGTTCTCACTTAACTGCAATGAAACAAAAATACTAACATAAAAACATCTCCGCTTGAATCAAGCTAGTTTCCAAACATCCACCACGCCTGTTAGCTGATGTTAGCTAGCATCGCTGGCTGATGAGGATCACAGGCCCCAGTCTTCGCCACACGCGTGGACGTGCAAACTATATAAGAGTAATGTTAGCAAATAAACCACACGACTGTATCTTTTCTGGTGTTGATTTAATCCCCCACATTTGGTGCACATTAACCATGCATACCACATCCGTTTAACCCGCGGTGAATCAAAGCGGGCCCATTTTTCAAAATGCCGGCTAGCCATATAAACGAGCTGCTCCGTGGCTAACACTGGCCGGTAACTCACAAACAAAACACAGCGTGTTTCCGTTCTGTAACGATCAGCTCGGTGTGTACTCACCATGCGAATCTAAACTTGGGTGCACGATGCTGATCCGCCGTGTTGAAGGTGCTCCAAATAAAGGAAAATATTCACGCCGGTGCTTTTCAGGTTGGTTTCTTTACTCCCGGTGAAACAAAATGGCTACGACGTAACGTCGCGATCTCTGCTTCTTGCCTGCATGTAAGGGGTTTCTTAGACTGCTTCTCACGGGCTGCTCAGTTTTCATACATCCGGTCAACAGACAGTGACGCAGTGACTGTTTATATTCTACAGTTTGTATCACTAACATTAATTTACCTAGACTCTCTCACGATAACACAAATACTCATTTATCACACAACCACCATGGTTTAGCAAGCATACTCCACTTTAGTGTTTGTTTTTCATGCCAGCCTACTTTTTATCCAGTGGTGGGGTATTCACATCCTACTATGACAATTAGACTTCTAATACCACACTATGAAAATACTCTTTGAGAAGTAAAAGTAAATATTACCAGTAAAAGAAAGCATTAGCAGGAACATGTACTTAAAGTATTAAAAGTAACAGTAGGCGATCCAATGCAGAAAAAAACAGTAAAAAATACTCAAAAATATTAAATTGAACTAGAAAACTATGGAAGCGTATTGCTGCCACATCAGGAAAAAAAAATAATGGATCAGCATTACGTTATAATGTGAAAAGTTTATTGTTCTAACAAGAAGTTTTTCATGTTATAACAATACATTTTCACATTATAACAATATAGTTTCATGTTAAAACGTGATCATTTACATTGTAGAAACTTGAAAAAAAATTCTGTTATAACGTGATAATTAATATTGTAAGAACGTGAAACGTTTCACGGTAATTTATGCTTAAAATAAAAAGTAACTTTTCATGTTTTTACAATATAAGTTATCACATTTTGACATGAAACTATATTGTTATAATGTGAAACTATATTGTTATAACGTGAAAATATATTGTTATAATGTGAAAAACTTCTTGTTAAAACCTTGTGAGCGCAGCGATGAAGAGCCAGCACCCTCGACTTCAGGCCTCAGCTCCTCCACATAGAGAAGATACTGGCCAAGTCCTTTTGAGTACCTAAGGTCTGATGACAGCAACTCCGATCAAAGACTAACAACCCTGATTGGAAAACCTTTGTGTCCCAGGCAGGCTTCACATCTGGTGAGGCTAACACAGCACTCATCCTGCACCAGGGCTTTTTTTATATTTAATTTCCTTTTGAATAATTCTTGACACATGTACCAGAGGCAAGGTAACATATGATGCATGCTGTAGGCCTACTGTTATGTATTTTGCTCTAAAAAGTATAGGAGGCTATATGTCAATACTTAATGACAACACTGACACAAGTCTCTGAATGTCTTTATCTCACTGACCAGTATAATAATACCAGGTTGTTGTTGTTTTCTTCTCACTCTGTTGCACTGCCATGTGTTTTTAGTTAGGTGTAGGTGGCTGTAACAGACTGAGGGAAGGTAGTAATTACTAACATTAAGAAAAGCCTCCAAGTCTCTTTTAAAGAGGTAATGATGGCTGTAACAGACCCCCACCCACACTGGAGGCAACAAGGTGGAAGACTGAGACTCAGTATCCAGGGTTTCCTTGACGACAGAGATGTTAACTACAGATATAGCCTACGAGAAGGATGGATGACTAAAGGACCAGATGGAGAGTGAAGGGTCGCCTTTCTTTCAGTGGGCTCAGTAAATACTCCAAATTCAACAATATAGCTACCAACAATGTAAAGGTTGTATATATGAGTACAAAAATATCAGTTGTGTTTCTGTTTCATAGGCGCGACTCCGCTGAGTGTTTGGCACTCCTGGAGCAGCTGAGAGTGGGCATAAACCAACCAGTCATTCCAGGAAGTCCCAGCACCGCAGCACAACATTAAACCACTCTCAGCCCAAGTGAGTCCGAGACCCCCTGGCCACCACCCATCCACCCTAACTACCACCCCAATCCACCCTGACCAGAGGTTACTGTGATGCTGTTACAGTCTGCTTCTTCTGCGCTGTTGACTTTGGGACGCTCCTCACACACAAACACAAGCACACAGACACAGGAAGCTGTCACCACCTTCTTGCATCTGTGCTCTGAAATCTAGAAAGAGACAGATGGTTCAGACTGAATGAAAAATAATAATTCTGAAAGGTCAAAAGTTTTCAGTCTGTCACACTGAACACAGTATGTTATGTATGTGCAGTCTTTTATATTCTTTCTATTAGCAACAATATCGTAATATTTTATATACAATTCAGAAACCTGACAATGTATGACATCTTAAATAAAATAAATAGTGCTCAATTTATGATTTGGTGTGTTTTGAATTTTGTTGGCCTTAAAGGCATTACTGTAACTTTTAATTGTGTCATTTTGAATAATTTGGTAAATATACAATTTTTCACATATAATTCCAATATTACATACAAAATGGTAAATGTTTTAGATTACCTCAATTTTGTCCAGCTTTATTGTCCTTGTCCCGAGTGTTTGTCTATTTGAGTTCAATGAGAAAAAAAAGTGTCAAATTCCCTCTTCATCAATTACTTCTTCATTGCTGACATAATATGCATCATATTTAACCATAATTTGTGTCCTATCAGTTTATCATAGGGTGATGGACATAACATCTAACGATGTCAACATACAAAGAAGTACAGAGGTACAGTTTTTATGTTGGTTTTACAATTTTAATCTCTTTTATTTTGTTATTTTCATCCCGGAAATTTCGTCACACTCGAGGGGCGTGGTTTTCCAATGCACAGGAGCGTCTCGCGATGCTATTGGCTGAGCGCGAAATTTCAAATGTCGTAGGAACAACTCCTTCAGAGCGGAGGAAAGAAACAAACCTAACGATGCAAGTTATCGAGAGGAATTGATTTGTAAAGCAAACCGAACAGTCTATTGGATATATTGCTCGGGAAAAAAACACCAATTTGGATTTTAAAGAGCCTTTTAAAACTTCATGCGAAATGGATATTGCCACTTATATACAGTAAGTCAACAGTAGCTACTTAAACATTAACGGTAGTCGGTGATAGCGTCATGCTAACGGTTAGCTTTAGCGCTACGAATGTACCATTTAATTGCAACTAATTTATGAATAACACGAGTTTTAGATATTGAGTTGCTTTCCTTTAATTTTAAGTTACGCTATTCCTTTACCCTTTTAGGAGCTTTGAAAGCAGTATGAGCTCCTATACAGGAGACGACCCTCTGGATCAGTGGGACAAGTAAGTAATTTAACTGGTTTACTGGTTTGTAACGTTATTTATCTAATAACAGCCGCTGCCCAAGTATTACGTTGTCATTTCCCCCAGTGGTAGAGAGTAACTACATTTACTCAAGGACTGTAACGGTACTTAAGTTCAGTTTTGTTTCGGTATTCGAGTATTTCCAATTTATGCAACTTTAGAGCTCTATTACATTGCAATTCAGATACAAATTTTACAGTCTTTGATCTGCATGTTAAGTCTGAGGCTGTGCCACATGACGAAGGTAGATAGTATAAGAAAGTATAAGCTGTGTATTCTAAACCTTTCCTCAAACACAGCTGATCTTCCCCATTTAATTCTTTTGTGTGCCTGCTATAGTCATTGTTTCAGATGTAACGTTACAGCTCACCAATTTTGTTGTAGAGATCATTACAGTTTCACCTATCTGGTATTGTAGTCTCAAGTGTAATGGGTACATAATGATGCTCTTGTTTTTCTGTGTCAGTATTCCCTTGCTTTTAACATATACCTTTGTAGTGTCAGCAAGCTGTTGATCCTTTTTTTTTAAATTCAAATATTGTCAGTGTTCCTCTCATCCCAGTATCTTCATTTCTTCCCAGCGATTCTCATTTCCTTGTTAGTACTTAAAAATGCTCTATCTGTCCAGCTTATTTTGTGCATGTACATGTAATTGCACTTGAATAATATGCATGTCCAACAGCTGTGAGAGTACTGACTGCACATTCCCTGTATATTTTCCCAGGTTTGTGAAATACCTGGAGCAAACAGTACCTGCAGATGGTGGCAGCGCAATGTCATTGGTGTTTGAAAGTCTTGTACAGAAGTTTTTGAATATCCAGCAATACGCAAATGACATCAGATATGTGAACTACTGCATCAAATGTGTAAGTCTCACTGAAATATTACGATACAATACAGCAGTCGCACACCTAGAACTGACTTGTTGCACTGATTAAACCTCACATGAGCAATTCTTTTTCTAACTCTGTCTCACAGGCGAGTTATTACTCCGACCCCATTGCACTGTATAGTCTCATCTTCAGTAAGGGCATCGGCACCAGGACTGCTGCCCTCTATGTGGCCTGGGCACAGCAGTTTGAACAGAGGGGGATGAATGAACAGGCTGACGCCGTGTACCAGAAAGCAATGGAAAACCAAGCTCAGCCAGTCGACACTGTTCTCAATGAACACAGGTAACACCCATTTGAATTTATTTATTTACTTACTCCTTCCTTGATGTTTCATAGTTGTTTGAGAGTTTATTATACACTGTCACCAACATACACAACAATAACTTTAATGTACCAAAAAAAAAAAACAACCAAATCTAATCTGCAGGCAGTTTCGAATAAGAACTGGAAACCAGACACCAGTATCAGGTAAGAGCGTATTTGCTTGCTTATTTGTTTATTAAAAAAAGATTTAGCACTTTCCTGTAAGTGCTCTGTATATCATATCAGCTGCTAACTGTTTGATTTAATTTTTTTTTTAAAAGCAGGAGGTCGGACCCCTCTGCAAAACTCCCAATTAACCAATCAGATGTCATCCCACAGAGAGCCTGTAGCTCAAAACAACGTGTGTGTCTTTGAATATCAGTAATAATTATTTAATAACCCTAATATCAGCTTTTGAAATCCATTAATATTTTTTTCCCTCTGTTACAGGCCTCTGTGGATTGCCTACCCAAACCACCTACATATAAAACTACCATTATGTGAGTTTTTGGACTTTTAAATCTGTTTTCTATAAGATGGGCTTATGCTTCTGCTGACCCCATCCCTAGCAGTGCATTGCCTAGCTTCTGTGTTGGACTCCTGCCTGCTTTTTCAAACTGGAGGCATGCCAGCTGCCATTTACTTTATTAAATATGCTGACTATAGCTAAGTACTTCATACAACCCCACTTCAAAAAATCTGATCTATCCCTTTAACTT